TAGAGGTGCTCTTATCACACACACACTAACTATGGAAGGTGATGGATAGGTTGATTTGCTTAACTGGAGCAATCATTTCACTATTATGTATATCAAAACAGCATGTTGTATACCTTAAAATATAGAATAATAAGACATCATTTATATAAGACATTGGTGCCTAATATTAGTAGCCACTTTAAAAAAATAGTAAATGAACTCAACATTCTTACACATTCCTCCTCATTCTGCAAGTTGGCAGATAATTCGGTAATATCTCAGTATCACTTCCATTACTTTTGTCTGCCCTTAAATTCCTTTCCCTAGTCAGACATTTTGCCACACAGACACACACATACACACGCATACATCCTTATTATGTTTCCTCAGCCAATCCATCTTTATGATAGATGAACAAACAGTATGAATTTTAGTTAGTCAGCATATTCTGGAAATGGGCATTGTCACTTAGTATTTAAATAAAATAAATCTTAAATGCATATTTTGAAAAATCTTATAAAAATATAATAACATATTCCTGCAGAAAGCATAATAAATATAGAGAGACAAGTAGAGCTCAGGTACCATTACAGAATGCTGTTACCATTTTAACAATGTTTTGTCTTCTATTGAATTCATTCATTCATCCATTAAATATTTGCTTATTACCTACAACCTATTGGACATTGATAAAGTTCTTGAGTTAGGTCAGCCAATCACAGATTAGTTAATTAAACAATTTATTGCTTAGTGATTATTTGTCCATCTCTTATTTTTAATGACTATATTATTTATTTAACCTATGAACAGTTAAAGTTATAGATGCCCAGGTATAGCCTTTATATTCTTTTATTATAAATCACTGGATCATAAACAATATATTAAAGGAAGGAAAAAATAAAGCAAATTGAGGAAGAAGAGAAATTACGGAAAAGAATAAGAAAAACCAATCTTTATTGAGTATTTATTATATGTCAGGTCTTGTGTTAAGTTCTTATGATGTGTTGTCTCATTTGATCCTCACAACCCTATAAAATCTTACTCTCATTTTACAAACAAGTAAAGTAAAGTCCAGAGAGATTAAGTAACATGCCCTGAGCACACAGTTATTAAATGTGGAGATTCTAGAATCAAGCTCCACTCTTCCTCTCTAGTGTTAGGAGGGCAGGAGTAAATGGGTGGACACAAACCTGACATGGGAAGCTAAATTATGCATCTTATTTTACTTATGCTTCTATTCAATTTTGTTTCTTTTTTTGAAGTAAGCACTGTTTTATAAATTAATGCAGAACTGATCCCTAAAATATATTTGGGCATTAGATTTAATTCCTACCATGCTAAATAAAACTTCACATGTGCCCAAGACCACATGTTAGGCATGTTAGGAAAATAGAAATTAAATGGCCCCAGGAAGAGGAGGAAAGCATATTGTTCTTCCTCTTACTAAGAGCTTCTAAAACTCAGCCCACTTTTCACTAAGGCTTGGATGACCCTGGATGAAAATTAAAAAATAAAATTTACATTGGAATATTTGCTTAAATAGTACTCAAAATAATGTTATCATAGAGAAAAATCAGAAACCTAAATAATTTGTTTAATATTTAGCTTCTAGAGGCCTTGGAGACACAATCCTAATGGATTGGATATTTGAACAAAGTCATCTTTCTAAGATTAGATATAAATGCGTATTTAATAATAGTCTATTATTTCCGTATAAATTTTCAGATTCAGGAAAATGGGATTATCAATGTCCTTGGAGTTATTGGTAGACTATTCAAAACTATGGCAGATGAGTCTTGGGATTTTCCAGGTGATTGCTACACTTCTTCACTCACAAACAAGATAATTATTCAAAAAACGAAACAGCCAGACTCAGAATCATATGGTTTATCATGCTTCTGTATTATGTAATGACTTGAAACCTTCTCTTTCAGGAGAAAGGTTGCCAAAAGTTGACAATTAAATGATTAAATAAGCATCCATACCGGATTGTGTTACGAAAATCTAACATGATTTACACTGGATTCAATAGGTCAAAGTGACACTTGAAAATCTAACTTTCAGGAGGTTTTAAATTAAAAAGTAAAACCAAAAACAGAGTCAGAAATGCTAGAGAGTAAATGTGCTTCTAAAAACTTAACAGTTGATCATCCTGAAGTCTTGATTGCCAGAGAGAACTTTTTTTTGATATTCAGCAGAGCTTGAACTGGTATCCAAGAATAAACCTGAGTACAGCACTGACCTTTCCAAAGTAGAAGTAGAAGCATTTTGAAACAGATATACAACAAATGCAACTACAAATCTTTTCAACGTACACTTTCCTAGCAAACAAGGAAAAAAATCCCTAATATTGCAATTCTTAACTTCTAAATAATATACTATATGTGACCAGGTCTATCTGTTTAATTTTCTTTGAATATATAACTTGTGCCTATTCAGGATTGTTTTGTTTTGTTTTGTTTTTTACTGACCATCAATTATTTCTTTCCTGATTAAGCCCTTAGCCATCTGAAAATTTGTTTGAAATCTTCATATCGGCCAACAGCCCCCCAAATAAGTCCTCACAAGTCAGCCTTTTCCTAGTAATTTCTTCTTCAAGGTCCATCAATATAGTTATAAAAATGAAACTGCACTCTGTTGTCACCCCCCCCATCCAAGAAAAATGAACAGAAAATACTTACAATGGTTCATAGCCAGGAGCATTTTATCCCTTATTCACTAGTGGTAAATGAGTCAGATATGACTTGGCCAGAAAAAGAGCTGCTTTACCCAAAATCTTAGTATGAAATGAGTCATCTCACTCCAAACACCAATATATCCTCCAAAATAACTGGCAAGAATTTCCTATTAAAAGAATCTTGCCTTCACTCTTTTCCATCCATTTAGCTCTCTGATTTTTCTAATTTTTCAATTTCCTGTGTGCTTATAATATTGCATTCATAACAAAGGGCTACGAACATTTCCACCTCTTTATCTCATTTTGAAAGCCATTTTTCCTATGTTGAGTAGGGCAACAATTCTGATAGCATTCCCCTGGAAAAAGTAAATGCTGTGTGGCATTCAAGGGTGTTCTCTCTCTCTCTCTCTCCCTCTCTCTCTCCCCCCCCCTCTCCTCCCTTCTCTCTGATGAAATTCAGGCATGGTTCAATTGAAATGAGAGAGCCAGTTCTAGAATAATTTTTCTTTTCCTCTGCTGAAAAGGGGACTGCAAAGCCATAGAAAATATTTTAAGCAAACTATTTTTCTTCCCACAAGAAAAATCAATCAAAATAGGTATCATCTGTCTAAAAGTGATAAATGAACATGAAACTAGGCTACAAGTTTCAACTCTGCTTTCCTGAACATCAGAACACTCACATTCACATTCCCTCTCTGCCATCAGATGAAGCTTAAAAATCACGGCGGACTGAAGCCGGGGTTAAATCCCTGTAGATTATTGAGAATCAAGCACACTACTTACCTGAGGATAAACAAGTATGCTTCTAGAGCCAATTTCTGCCAAGGCGCTCAGATTTTTATATTACTTGGGACTCAAAACATCACTTATTATTGTTAATTATTCTAAGCTCTGCAATTTAATGGGCAAAATTACTTACAATTCATTTCACTAAAGTTGGAATTTGGCTTTGTTTTTCTATATGAAATGAATTCTAAAGAATAGCTACGCTCTTTTATATCCAACACTAACAGATGTTAGTTTCCTCAGTTTTACAGCCCTCAGATGACGGACAACTAACTGTTTTTGGCCTTGGGAATAATTGCAACACCTTTGGATTATGAACTTGGTTCAGTTCTTAGATGGGAACAGCAGGGGGTTAGTTCATATTATCAAAGACGTAAAATAAGTTTTCCCTTATGCTCTAGATATCCATATGAAGATTCCATTCAATACAGTAATATACAACTTTTTTCTCCCTACTGGTAATCTGTTGTGTAAGTGGTTAATGGCAAGAGAAAATAATTGTATAAAAATAAAATCTCTTATTGAGTTTATCTCCTGCTCTTGGCCACAAGATGTTAAATCCATTAAACTCTGAGTATCCAGTAAAAGCAAGAAAGCTAGAACTGTTCGAGTTTGTGCATTCTTGGGAAAACTGCCAACCTATGCACTAGTAGCAGGATCTGTGTAATTAATGGTGATATTATTGACGGAGTCTGATTTCCTTCTCAGAAGCAATTTAAGAGTGCAAGCTGGCAGAGCTTTAGCAAAGCCTTACCTGATTCACTTTTAAATTGAAGAACTGTGACCTTGAAGTCAGCCATAGAAAGCACCAGTGAATGTACATTTGTGGTGGTTTTAGTCATAGTAGACTTTAAGGGTATTCTGAATGCAGCATTGTCCACAGAATGGAACGATGAACACCAAAGGCACAAACTGACAGACATTTCTTATAAAGAGAACAAGCAAACCTAACCCTAGGTTCACCTTATTTTCTTTCCCAGAAAACTATATTTACATGAAGATGGATTGAAACAAATTCTAATCATAACATAAAATAAAGTCAGACTGGAGTCCACACAGTCCTTTACCTACACTCTTAATTCCTTTGCAGGCAACTTCCATTTTTATCCAATTGTTGAACCTCAAGGACAATCACATAAGGAGTGTGTATGTACTTTGGCTATCCAACTGACTAGCATTACTTAATAAGAGAAAGAAAAAGAACGTCTGGAAATACAGAGATAACTAGGGAAAGAAGTTAAGCCCACGAGCAGCTCTTTCCATAACTATCTGCACTCAATTATCTGACAAGGAGTGATTTTTCTCACCATTTATCTCATGCCCTCTCTATCTCTGACTGCAGCCACATGCTCCAGCTCTGCACTTCCCATGAAGAAGGAATGTAACAGTGGAATTCTCGATAGCCTAAAGCATGTGCTGTGGCATCTGTGGCTTTGGAGAAGACAGGTGGTGGACGTGGAGAAGACAGGTGAAGGAAAGGCAGGAGGAAGGTTCATGAACATCAATGATGAGACTGGATGTTACTGACCCGAATTATTCCCCCACATTGGATTCATACCTGCTGTCTTCCTGAGCAAAGGGCTGTTCCACATCCACGGTCAGGGAGGCCAGGGCAGAAACGGTCTCTGTCTCCTCTTGCAACTGAGCACCAGCCAGAGCACAGCCCCTTGGCACAGCCACCATCCTTACTGACTTCCAGTACTTGCCTAAAAAAAAAAAAAAAGGTATCCTGCATACTTTATAGGAATTTTAGTTAGAGCAGTAGTAAGCAGAACACTCATTTAGGTCCAACTGGGAATAGTCATTAAGTTAAAATTCTCCATGTTATACACAGTTGTAATTTGGTTTCTTAACTGTTATGATTAAGTCTTTTTCTCAATCCAAGAATGTCAAGTTTTGAAGTGCTATATTTCCAAGCCTGAATCTCTCCCTTGCTCACAAGGCAATAAACTGAGGAATAATCCGTGGTCTAATGAACTCACTATTGGACTGACAGCTGTCTCTGCAACTAAGTAAGCAAACTCTGGGCATTGTGCCCCCTGGGAAACTCTCAAGAGATGGAGAGATAGAAGCCACCGAGAAAATGAATGAAACAGTAACATCAAACATTGCTACTTGAACCATTAACTTTTAAAAATGAAGTTAGAGTAATAAAGAAAAAGAAAAGCCCGGAAATGCCAGCATGAATCGAATGGCAGCTTTGCCAGAACAATCAGGATTGTTAGTCCTGGATGTTCTTTCTTTCTCAACCTCAGGGTGTGTACTAGAACAATAATTGATTTAAAACTTTAATATATGCACTGGCTGATGTTGGAGCCCATCCATATGTCATAGTGATGTTTCTTTTTTTGAAGCAGGAAAGGAGAATGAGAGGAAAATAGAAAGTCATTTTATGAGAGCATGCCAGTGGGATAAATATGAAAGAGCAGAGTTAATGGCTTCCTTGCAGCCCCTAAGCTATTTTTTTGTGAAGTGTTGAGTAGCCCCGAATCAAAGCTAGGGAATCTCACTAGGTGCTGACATGACTCACCAGGTTAGAACTATCTTTGCAGTCTGACCAATTAGGGGGGAACGTGGCATGCAGAGTTTGCTTAGTTCTTAAAAAAGTTCTACTTGAGTGGAAAAGGCAGATGGATGAATACTAGATTGGGAAATAAGATAAGTAAGTTCTGGACCCAGCTGTGCCACTGGCTGTCCGTATAATGCTGGCAAGGGATAGTGGGACTTTATTTCTGCCTCTTGAAAGGGGAAGATGGCTCAAATCCCTTCCAGCTCCAACATTCTGTGATTGGCCTTTCTTTAACTTATTGTTTCATAAAGGGATGGATGTCACATTATAGGAAGACACTCAGTCCCCCATATATTCCCTATGCTAACAAGACCTTCTGACATAGGTATTCACTACTACTTTGCCTGCTAGGATCACCCATTGTCAACAAAGTCTGAGAATCACACTATTGAACCAATCTATTAATATAACAATTATGTCAACAAATCCACAAACTAACATTTTTGGAAAGTTAAGGCTGTTCTAGATGTTGAGGACACACAGATGCTTCCCTGACTCCAACAAATGTATGACCTAGGTGAGATAGTGCTGTTAGTTAACAAGGACAATTTCGTGTGTACAATGCCCATGTGCTCCTTGAAAGGGAATAGGCAGAATATACACTTAAGGTGTTGGGAAAGTAAGAGAAGACTTGTCAGAAAAAAAAAAAAAAAAATCACTTGACGAAACGTTTGAAAGACCAGAAACTAGTCAAGCTGAAATAGAGGGAGGTAGTGGTGGTGGGGTATCCATGGAAGGGGAAGAAGCACATACAAATGTACTCAGACTGGAGTCTCTGTGGTTTATTGGGGGACAGTGAATTGCTAGCTATGGTTGGAATGTAGGAAGAATCTGCAGTGTGGTGGATGAGACTGCTGTGGCAGGCAAGGGTTAATTAGCATAGCCCTTGGTTATTCTCCATGTGCCATCTTCTCTAAAAGTAAATGTCTTCTGAGTTCTTCAAGAGTTCATAAGCTCATAGGAAAGTAAGGACACATCAATGCTCTTGGACTTCAACATGTGGATGACGAGGGGCCATTTTAAACAAAAGAGGTATAGAATCAGGTTTACATTTTTAAAAGATCCCTTTGGAGAGATCGTGCATGATGGATTGGAAGGTGATAGCAGTGGCTGCAGGAAGACCAATCTCACATGTTGGCAAATGTCCAGGTGGGAAATGATGATGTCTAAACTAAAACAAAGTGACAGAATAGGCATGAGACACTAAGAAAGGTTTAGAAGGTAGGCAATAGAAATGCATCTTGGCCTATTCTTTAGCCTCCCTCACATCTCTCAGCTTCGAAAGTTATCCCTGAATTGACAGTTCCATTCCAAGGTCCTAATATACCTAAATCACAATGTCATTTTAGTCTTTCTTAAATTGAAAATGTCATATTCCATCTACAAGTACATACAATTGTAATGAGTGTCACAAAATATTAAACATTATTTTAATACATGACATTTACAAAGCTAGCAATGCTATCTGACATCCTTTCCTTGTTCTCTACAGTGACTAATATGGGGACTCTGACAAACACTACAGTTGTATTGCAGTTTATGGGTCAAAATGTAAATAGTATAGGAAAGATAAACTAGCATTATTGAGTGCCCAATATGTGCCAAGGACTGTGCTAGGTGTTTCCACATTTATAATTTGTAATTTTATTTAATCCTCATGATGACTATGTAGACAATGTGAGGTAATTTATTCAAAGGTCACAAGGCTAGTAGAAATCCTTACCCAGTACTGCCTAATTCCAAAATGTCTCTTTTTCTGCATTGTGCTGTCCTCTTTAATTTAGCCCTCCTCCCACTATACATAAAAATGCAAAAACAATTTCAACATATGAAAATCTCAAGTTAAAGGGATTATGCACATTGCAAATTCATCAACAAGTTGCCCTTGTTCCTTAGATATGTACCAACTCAATTGACCCACATTTTATTGACTTTATGGTATGAGTTTATTGTACAAAGTGACACAACCACGTTGAAACTAGTTCACTCTAATCTTCATTTCTTCTAACCTGTCCTATAGCAAGAACCTGTTTATCAGGTAAATTATTGATGAAACTATCATAAAACTGAAGACAAAAGCTCATTGAAAAGTGTGTATAAGAAACCCATTGAAGATGGGGCTCTGAACTAAAAGTGAAGATTTTCAGATTGGAGACCCCACACTAATCCCAGAGAAGTCAGTAGATCATTCTGGAGCACAAATTGCACATTAATAAAACAATACTGGTAGGACTAATGATTATTAAAGGTTGATTCCCTTTCTACTTCTTAATTATTGGGACTACTCTGATCTCATGTTACATATCACTCTAGGATATTACATTTGTTATGGCAGAAAACCTTACTTCTCTATGAGCCTATGAACTCTTGAAGTCAGAATAAATTTACTTTTAGATAAGATGGTACATTGAGAATAAGCAAGGGCTTTAATTGTCAAGCATTGTATCTTATGCCTCAAGACAAGAGCTCTTGGCCATAAACAAAACAAATATCTTTACACCCAAAACGCAATCAGGACAGAAGGCATGAATTGTTAATGGCAATCTTTAAGCAGAATGACTGACAATGATCCCTTAAATTTTAGTCTTTATGTATGTAAGTAGTAGGAAGTATTTTAAATAACTAAGACCTTTTTGGATAAATTTAATTTATATAAAATATTCTGTTAAGATTAAATATTAGAAGTTTGGTTTTTATCCAAATATATGAGTTTCCTGAATCAGGAAAAATCCCAGAAGTTTAAATGCTATATGGCCTCTGGCAAAGTCTATAAAAACAAGGACATATTCTACATTAATAATGCATTTATAGACCACTATCTCTATTTATAAAGGATAATAATTAAAATGGAAGTAGATATAGCGCAGACTGTGCAATATGCAGCCAACTCAATTCCCATAATTTATGGGTTATATTTTCACATGATATATATGTATTTTTTTCCTTACAGAAACAGATGTGCAAGAAAATCATATCTATTGCCATGGGAATAATATCCCCATTAGCACATAAGAGAAATGAACCAAGGTTTACTGCTAGACTTTTCAGGAGCTGCTATTTGTAAAGTAAAATATTAGTAACAAGCCATCATTGAGTTGCTGTCCTATGGCAATACAACTGGCAAAAGAGAGGGGTTTTCCATTAAAAGTAGACATGCACACTCCCGCTTCAGTCATATCCTCTATCCATATTCATTTTTCCTACTACGTAAATCTTCCCACTTTTCAGCACTTTTTTTAAAGGACTATTCAGCCTTCACCATTCTGCCTTTTTGTTTTATCTGGCAAAGGTAAAGCAAAGAATGGATCTACAATAAAAGCAAAAAGTAGATAATGGAATGCACACAGTCAAGAGTTAGAGGTGAGGGCCATGGATGGGGTTTCACTGGGTCAGACAGGACCCATGAGAAGGCTTTCTGCAGATACTATGTGATCGGAATTTGGTATAAACCAGATTGTTCTTGGTAATGAAGAATTTGGATAAATGGGTGGTTGTTGACTTCTGAAAGTCGGTCTTAGAAATAACCCATCTAGCAAAAAGTTTCCCAATCAAAGCCCCTTGCCACTTTGAAAACTTCCTGATCTCAGAAACTTCCGCCTTCCATCATCATTTCGGGAACCATAGAATTGTCACTCCTCAGATTTGGTTCTTTTTTTATTTTTTACCTACTTTCCATTTGAATGATGTTGCCTTTCATCATTACACACCCTGTTCTTGTAAGAAAAGAAGCTGGTGCTAACCTTAACCTCTTCCAACCTCAGAGATTATTAACACTGGAGCTTATAAGGGCCCAGGGCCATAGATTTTCTGGAACTTCTTAATATGTTTTTAAGATACTTTTTTCTAGCTAAATAGAAAACTTTATCAGGATCCAAAACATTATTTAAATGCCAAAGTAAAGACATATTGAAATTTGGTGCATAAACAGAATTAACAGATAACTTTTCATAAAATTGGACCAATTTTGAGCCCCATTTGGGGCTAACTATAAAATTATGTTATGGAAATATTTATTTATTGGCTAAAAATTATTTTTATCAGTGAGCCTATAAAATAATCCTATTCAAAATTTATATTCACAAATAAAATTCATTTTAAAAAAATAAAAATTGCATAATTCATTATATCAAAACATGG